CCATGTTGGCCAGGCTGGTCTTGAACTCCTGACTTCAAGTTATCCACCTACCTCTGTGTCCCAAAGTGCTGGGATTACAGGCGTGAGCCACCACGCCCAGCCTAAACAAAGATTTGAAAAAGGTGAAGGAGTGAGTCCTGCAGGTATCTGGGGACAGAACATTCCAGGCAGTGGAGGGTCAGAACATTCCAGGCTGTCAGAGGGTCTTGGACTTGTCCTCTGGGTGAGGTGGAGAGCCTTGGGGACGTTCTGAACACAGGAGATTCATGGTCCCTCTGCTGCTGTGCTGAGAATACACTGTAGGGGGAGACAGGGAGAGCACCAAGAAGGCAGTTGTAGGAAGCCAGGCAGAGATGCTGGTTTCTGGGTGTATTTGGAAAGCAGAGACATGAGCTCACCCAGCAGATGGGAAGCTGGGGGCGAGAGGAAGAGGCGTCAGGGATAGCGTCCAGGTTTCTGGCCCTAGTAACCGGAAGGAAGGGGCTGGCAGAGAAGGAGGAGAGAGCAGGTGTAGGGGTGGGTGGGAATCAGGAATTCAGCTTCGGACTTAGGGGGTTGGAGCTGCCTATTTGGCATGGCGAGTAGGCAGCTGGACGTAGAAGGAGGCTGGAGTTTGCGAGAGAGACTTGGGAGTGGTTAGCATATAGATGATATTTAAAGTCAGAAACGTGTACTATTTGCCAGATATATGCAGTAAGGCAGTTGATGCAAACCAAAGCCTTCTAATGTAATTATTGTTATTATTTTCATTTTGCAGCTATAGAAACTGAGGCTCAGAGAGAAGTGACTTTGAGCTCAGTGTCACCACCTGCTGATGGGAGAGCGGAATTCAAAACCAGGTGTCCTGACCTACAGTCTTTGCTCCTAACCCCTCCACTGTGAGGTGGCCCCCTCACTGGCTCTTTCATGGCATGCCTTAGATGAGAGGTGGATGGTCTTTGGATCAAGGGAAGATAATCCATACAAGAAGGGGACAGGTGTTTGGAAGCAGCAAATCAAGTCACAAAGTGAGGGGACGCACTGGCCCTCAAGGAAGCTGAATGTTGGGGAGCAGTGAGATGAGACTGAATAGGAAGGAGGGGCTAGATGGAAGGTACAGCTTCAAGACTGGCCTGAAAAGTTTTGACTGGATGGGGAAGGAAGCAGGGAGCCATTGATGGTTTTGGAGGAAGGGGACATTATACGGTTAGGGCAGCCCTTGTGAAAGATCCATCACATATGGGCATACAGCCGATGAGGGAGGTGTCAGGAGAGACCAGAGAGGAGGAAACAGTCCCAGAAGTTGTTGAGACTCTCTGGGTGTGAAGGATGAGGGCTGAGCCAGTGGAGATGAGAAGGAAGCGAGGAAGCCAAGCTCCCACTGAAGACAGCGCTGAGCGGAGTCTCTGCCTGATGTAATGTGGGGGATGGAGGCGAGGAATGAGTCAAGGGCAAAGTTTCAGACTGGGGGCAGACGGGGAGGTGGGAAACAATGCTGGCTTGAACAGATAAAAGGGAGGCTGGTGTGAGAGGGAACTCGGTTTTACACTTCTGGTACTTGGGGTTGAATGAACCGTAGCGGGACAGGTTTCTGCTTCCCAGCAGCCCACAGGTTAGTGTGGGGGACAGACTGCACAGAGCTGGCCAGGCTGCAAGGCAGAGAGAGCTGAGGGGTGCCACAGAAAGATGGGCAGGAATGGGCAGCGTCCAGGTGGGCGTGTCTGATTGGTTACTGGTCAGGGCTGGAGACAGATGAACAAGTATTTATCCAGATGTAAGAGATCTGGGGTAGACGATGTCAGGGAGGAAGAGAAGGTTGCTTGAGGCAAAAACAAAGTCTAGGACAGAGGCCCAGGCTTGCTCCTGCCACCAGCTAGCTCTGTGCTCATGAAGTAGATTTTTTTTTTTTTTGGAAATGAAATCTTGCTCTTTTGCCCAGGCTGGAGCGCAGTGCCACAGTCATGGCTCAGTCATGCACCACCGTGATGGGCTAATTTTCATTTTTTGTGTGTGTGGAGACAGAGTCTTACTATGTTGCCCATGCTGGTCTCAAGCTCCTGGGCTCAAGCGATCCTCCCACCTCAGCCTCCCAAAGTGCTGGGATTACAGTGGACCAGTTGTTTAAACTACTCTGGTCAGTTCCTAATTTTCTCATCTGTAAAAAATAATAGTTCTTACCCCTGAAGCTGTTGTGAGGGCAAAGTAAACTAATAGACTTAACTGCTGAGACCACCCCTGCCACCCACCCCAGCCTGTAGTGAGAGCTCAGGGACATTTCTGAGAAGAGGAGCTCACGGGGAGCCCAGGGAAGAACCGTGTCCCAAATCCCAGTGGGAGGAGCATCAAGAAGGGAGGTAGGTTCCCAGGGATGACAAGGTGATTCCCTGAGCCAGCTGGAGACCAGGAACTTTACAGACTTCATCTCAGTCAGTTTTCCAGGCCATACCATGAGGGAGTGTCTATCATCACACCCATTTCACAGATGAGAAAAGTGAGGTTCATAAAATTGCTGTTGGTCACACAACCAGGAACAAGTAGCAGAGGGACTGGGACCCAGGGCTGTCGGTAATGATTCCAGAGCCTCTGCTGGTAACCACTGCCCCACACTGCCCAATGTAAGGCAATAGGAGGTTCAGGGGGTGGCTGGAGGGGATCGAGAGGCTCAGAGAGAGCACCCTTTCCTAGAGCATCAGAGCTGGAAGCCACATTGCTGAGGATTAATTAAATCACAAGTGGGCAGAGAGGAAATGGTAGAGGGAAGTACAGACCACACATCGGAGCAGTTTGGTCATGAATGAAAGGAGAAATGGGAGGGCAACATGCGGGGGTGTTGAGGTCAAGGGGAGATCTTTATGGAAGTGGACAGACAGGATCATGTTGTCAGCAGAGGGAAAGGGTGTCATGGGATGGGAGACAGTAAAGAGCTAGAAGATGGCGGCTCAACTGAGGGAAGGAGGCCCCTCTGGGATGATTAAGGTTGAGATCCAAGCCACAGTTGAAGCAATGTAGGTTTGGCAGAAAATGGCCACAACCATAAGGAAGTTGTAAACTAGATGGAGGAGGAATCAGGGTATCCTTGGTTAGATTCCTCTGCTTTATCCATGACAGAAGGATTTGGGTGTGTCTCATGAAATGACGGGACACACTGGTTTAAAAACAATTTGCCCTGGGATGAAGGAGGCCCTGGGATAAAATGTAAGTTGGGCCCATGTTGTAGTTCAGAATCTCTAAGTGACCATCCATCTATCCATGCATCCATGCATGTATATATCCATTCATCATCTATCAAGCCATGTACCCATCCTTCTATTCACCCATCCAACCACACATCCATCTATCTGTGTATCTACATACACCCACCTATCCATCAGTCCATCCATCTGCTTACCCATCCAGTTTCATGCATCCATCCATCTATCATCTGTCAGTTCATTCATCCATCCTTTCATCCGTCCATCCATCCTTCCATCCGTCCATCGATCCATCATCCATCCATCCATCCATCCATCCATCCACCCATTCATTCATCCATTCATCTATCCATCCATTCATCCATCCATCTATCCATCCATCCATTTACCCATCCATCCATCTATTTATTCTTTTACCATCCATCCACACATCCATCTGCCATCCATCCATCTACCCATCCATTTATCCATTCATCTACCCTTCCATCTATCCATCCATTCATCCATCCATCTATCCATCCATTCATCTACCCATCCATCTATTTATTCTTTCACCATCCATCCACCCATCCATCTATCCATCATCCATCCACACATCCACCCATCCATTTATCTACCATCCATCCATCCATCCATTCTTTCATCCACCTTCCAGCCACTCATCCATCCATCACCCATCCACACATCCATCCATCATCTATCCACCATCCATCCGTTCACTCATTTTTCCCTTCTATATCCATTCACCCATTCATTCATTCACCCATCCATACAACCACTCACCTATTTATACATTCAGTAAACATATATATATATATATTTTGAGACAGGGTCTCACTCTGCCTCCCAGGCTGGAATGCAGTGGTGCAATCATGGCTCACTGCAGCCTCAACCTTCCTGATGTAGGTGATCCTCCCTACTCAGCCTCCAGAGTAGCTGGGACAGGTGCACACTGTAACACCTGGCTAATTTTTTTTTTTTTTGAGACAGAGTCTCGCTGTGTTGCCCAGGATGGAGTGCAGTGGTGTGATCTTGGTTCACTGCAATCTCCACCTCCTGGGTTCAAGCAATTCTCCTGCCTCAGCCTTCCGAGTAGCTGGGATTACAGGCACACTCCACCACACCCAGCTAATTTTTTTTTTTTTGTATATTTAGTAGAGACGGGGTTTCACCATGTTGGCCAGGAAGGTCTCGATCTCCTGACCTCGTGATCCACCTGCCTTGGCCTCCCAAAGTGCTGGGATTACAGGCGTGAGCCACTGTGCCCTGTCATTTTTTTGTATTTTTTTGTAGAGACAGGGTTTCACCATGTTGCCCAGGCTTGTCTTGAACTTCTGGGCTCAAGTGATCCAGCTGCCTCTGCCTCCCAAAGTATTGGAATTACAGGTGTGAGCCACCACACTGGCCTAATAAACATATTTTATTGAGCACCCACTAAGGTGCTAAGTCCTGGAGGGATAAGTTGGAACATAAAAGAGATCCTTCAAAGATTTTACAGTCTTTTGTGTGAGTCCCAACGAATAAATTAGCAATCACAATAAAATATGAAGACAGCCATGAAGAGGGAAGTCAATGAACTCTGGGGACATAGAGGAAGGAAGGGAGTGAGGGTTCAAGCTGCCCTCTGAAATGAGTAAAAGGAAGTGAGATGGGGGAGCAGGAGAGAATGTTCCAGACAGGAAGAACAGCCTGTACAAAGGCTTGGGCATCAGTAAGGGCCTGGCATTTTCAAGGAACTGAAAGAAGGTCCATGTGGCTGGGACAAAGTGATGTGGTGGGTGGTGGAGCTGGAGGAAAAAGCTGAGCCTGGAGAAGTAGGCAGAAATGTGGGCTTTGTCCTGAGGGTAATGGGGAGGCATTGAAGAATTTCGAGAGGGGAGAGCCTTGCTCAGACTCGTGTTTTGGAGATCACTGGGCTTTTGAGAGGAAGATGGACTGGACCAGGAAGGCCTGGAAGCTGGGGCATGAGTTCACGGCTGTGGTGCAGCAGAGAGATGGAGGAGGAGCAGGAGACGAATTCAGGACACATCCAGGTAGCCAACTAACACACTTTGCTGATGGACTGGATGTGGGCAGTGAGGGAGAGCCCAGGGACAGAGATGACCCTTGGATTTCCGACCTGAGGAACCAAGAGGACACCCCGTCAGGAACGACAGACACATCAACGGGCACGTCAAGTCTTTGGGACAGGGGAATGGGGCCTATTTTGGGGCCAGGGGTGGAAATACCATTTGGGACCCTTACATCTCAGCTGGACTGGCCCTGATCCCTGATTCCCGGCCCCCTGGGTAGGGCAGGATGAATCCAGTTTCAGTTGTCAGTGATGGAGATGAGTAAACAAATGCTCAATCCTTACTGAGCTGCTCCAGGAGACCCTAGGCAAGTCACTGCCCTGATGAGCCTCAGGTGACACTGGTGTGACGGGGATGGCACTTCTGCCTAGCTGCCCAACCCCGGTCAGCCACAGCTGTCAAATGCAATTGAAGATGATGAAGAGCTGCCGCCCCAGCTGCTTGGATGCTCTGTGACTGAGAGCATCCTCGTTCCACCCACTGCCTTGGGGACAGGCTTCTGCAGGAGCCTGGGCAGAGCCTGGGGCAGGAACGTTCCTTCCCTGTCTTTCAGGGAGAAGGACCACATATCTGCCTGTTCCAGTGCCCTCTGGCCAAAGCGGAGTGGGCTGTTGCAGCAGCCCCTGGGGCAAGCACGGTAGATTCCTGGGTGGTGTGCCTGCCCACTTTAGTCAGAGGCGTTGAGACAAGGAGTTACCATGGCCGTTCCTCCCACTCAGATCCAATTCCCCTTCACACTCTCCTAACAGGCCTAACAGTGTCTGGCCTGCTTTCCTGCCATGGCCCTTTCCCTTCCCCTGGCCACAGCACTGTCTCCCCTGCTGCCCCTCCACAAAGCTCTGCCTCACTGCCACCTCCTCCAGGGAGCATTCCTGATTGCCCTGACAGACCTCCAGGTCCTAGAGTCCTCACAGCAGCATAAAGATCTCTCAAGATGCTTCGCATAGGCCCAGATTCGGGATATTTTGTCTGGAAGGTCCCTTGGCATCCATCTCACAGCCTGGGAGAACTGAGGAGGAATAAGCTCGGTTAACCCCTGGTGAGGAAACCACCTCAAAAATGTCCCTGGTCCCAGCCACCTCCCAAAGAAGACTGAGGCACACTGGGCCCTTTGCGTCCATCTCACCTGCCCTTCCTTCAGTCCTGTGTTTACTCGGTCAGTCCTGTGTTTACTCGAAACGCTGAAGGTTCACCTGCATGCCAAGGCACCCATGCCTGGCCCCTGGGGATGCCCACAGCCGCGGGGCAAGGCAGACCACCAGCCTGTCCCTACGTGTGACTGCTCCTCAAGTCTTGGCATTTAAGGCGTGGCCCCGTCCGGGGTTTCAATGCTGTTGAGCCCTTTTTTTTTTTTTTTTTGAGACGGAGTCTTGCTCGTCACCCAGGCTGAGTGGCAATGGCGATGATCTCGGCTCACTGCAAGCTCCTCTCCCAGGTTCATGCCATTCATCTCTGCTCAGCCCCCCAGCAGCTGGGACTACAGGCGCCCACCACCAAGTCAGCTAATTTTTTGTATTTTTAGTAGAAGATGGGGTTTCACCATGTTATGCCGCAGGATGGCCGATCTCCTGACCGTCCATGACTCTGCCCGCCTCGGGCCTCCAAAGTGCTTGGGGGGATTATCAGGCCATGACCAACCCATGCCCGACTGTTGTTGCCCACTAATTTAATATCTGCGACATTCCCTCCTCATGCACCTTTGCCTAAACGTGCCGGACCCTGTGCAATGCCCTTCTTCCAATACTCCAGTATGAATTCTTTTTTTTTTTTAAACGGAGTCCTTGCGCTCTGTCCGCCCAGGCTGGAAGTGCAAGTGTGCCAATCTCGGCTTACGCAACTCCGCCTACCCCAGGTTCACGCCATTCCCCCTGCCCTCAGCCCTCCTGAGTAAGCTGGGAGCTAACAGTGCCCGCCACCAATGCATGGCTAATTTTTTTGTATTTTTTGGTAGAGATGGGGTTTCACCCTGTTAGCCAGGATGGTCTCGATCTCCTGACCTCGTGATCCGCCCGCCTCAGCCTCCCAAAGTGCTGGGATTACAGGTGTGAACCACTGCACCCGGCCTCAGTATGAATCTTATCTACAAAACCTAGCCCTATGCCCTACAGCCACCTCTTTCAGGCAGCCTTCCATGAATTCTGGCCAGAAGCAGCCTCTCCCCAGTCTGTGCCCCGAAGCCCTTTAATCTCACCTGCATGTCCCTATAAGGGGTCAGGCCCTGTTCCCCCACCCCTACCCACTGTGAAACCCCGCAACAGCAGGGTCTGGCCTCTGTCCACCCTGCAGCCCCGGGCACAGCCCCGAGAGGCCAGCTGCCCCTGCCAGCCAGGCAGCCTGCACCAGCCTTGAGCTGAACCAGAACCTTCCTAGTCCAGAACCTTCCACTGCTACTTTCATGATCTGTTCCCCAGAACAAACAGGGGAATTTGGGTCCTTCTGGAGAAAGCTCTGAGTCTGCGGGAAAGCGAAGAAAACTCAGAACCCATCAGGGAGTTTCCCCAGCAGCAGGGACTGCAGTCACTTCATCATTAATCAGGCTGCTCGCTGGGTCACAGCTGTCCCTTGCAGTTGTGTAGCACAGAAGAGCATGTAGTGGCTTCTGTGGCAAGTGGAGTTCCCACAATAGGGCAGGCAGAAGCCACAGGGCAGAGCACACAGAGGGCAGCGAGGGCGGGAGGGGTGGTCAGCAGAGGTGCCCCTTCCTGCCTGTTCCCAGGACCCAGGCCCGGCCCTACACCTCTGGGCTCAGGCTCTGTCGCCAGGTCAGGGCTGCCCTGTGCCTGCACACCTTCCCCTGCTCAGCGCGGCCTCCTTTGCAGGGGGACTCTGCAGGGAGCTACTCTGAGGCTGCTCCTCCCCTTCTCTGGGATGTTGGCACCAAGGAGGTGCCCAGGCAGGAAAAGCAGCCTCCCCTCCCGCTCCTCTGCATGTGCAAATGGAAGCCAGCCCTGGGCGCAGGAGGCGTGGCTGGGGGCAAAGAACCCATCTGGGCTGTGGCTTGAGGAGGGGGCAGGGTCAGGGTTTCTGGTAGCTGATGCGACCTCCAGAGAAGCAGAGAAATGTTGGTGCGAGGCCCGCCAAGGGGGTCTCCATCTTCCTGAGATCTACCGTTTTGGCAGGGCTCTGTGGGACAGACCAAACTTCCTTCTACAGGTGATGAGATTGAGGTCCAGAGAGGGTCTGAGAGCCGCCCGAGGTCACACAGAGGATCCCGCCCACAGAAAGATTCCTCCATGAGCAGGGAAGCCCCCCTCCCAGGTGCGGAAGCAGCCAGGCCTCCCTTGTTGAGGGGTGGGGAGAGGAGCGCCTGGGGCTCCTCCGAGGTTGAGGGTCTCTGTCTGGTTTTCTCTCATAGGATCCCCGCCCTTCCACCTGAGGACTGATGAGGTTAGCTCTGAGCGATGCTCCGGGAGCGTGGGGTTTCCACAGGTCCCCAGAATCTAAAACCAAGAAACAAAAAACCTCACGACAAATAGCGGCTGTTGCTGTTATCATGACAGTTAGTGAAAATCTTTGTAAAGATACAGTGATTAACACAGGGTGGACTGTGAGAGGGTGGAAGGCACCTGTGTCTTGTTTTGGAGGGGCAGTGCTATCATTTTGAGTTGGCCCTGGTCATGCAGGGACAGGGTGAAGCCAGGCCGAGGTCCCCCATGTCACAGTCAGAGTCCAGGTGCTGCCCTGCCTGGAGCCGCCCTTCCCTGGTGCTGCCCACCTGAAGGCCATGGGACTCTCATCCTACTGAAGGGATGCCCGTGCTCGGGCTCCTGCGAGCCCCAACAGGGTGACTGGCAATTTCCTCAGGTGGTCAGGGGACTGACCCACTTGCAGGGATGCTGTGACCTGGGGCTGAGACCCTAGAGTCACAGAGAAGCCAGTTCACCAACTTTATCAACCTCCTTATGATTGCAATTCTTGTTTTATTCCTGACCCTACTGGAAAGTGGACTCGTGTTCTGTCATCTGCCCTGCAATGAGCTGGGGTGCCTGGAAAGTCAGCTCAGGGCCTGACTCAGGCTGGACCCTGACCAGGCGTCTAGTACTGACTCCGGGACACAGCTCTGCTAGAAGTGAGAAGCAGCATCTCCCACTGAGCCCTTCATTCTGTTCTGTATCTTAGGGTAAGGCATCCCATTTAGGGGAACGTGGTTTCCTGAGCTATTTGGACTGAATGGTGATCGAAGCGCCACCGGGCTCTTGCCTCCTGCGGTCAGGGCCTCGCCTGGGATGGGACACCAGCCAAAGCTGCTCTGTACCCTGGCTGGGCCTCAGCCTCTCGGAGGCAGATGGACCTCCCTGCAGAGTGATGCCCATGTGCCCGTGCCTGGCAGCCGCGGTGGCCCCGACAGCACCCTGAAGCTCACTCATGGTCCAGAAGAGCTCCGCTTGGTTTCTGCCTGGTTGACTCCCCAACACCCCCGTCTGTCCCCCCACTCAAGCCACCACGCATGAAGGACGCTCTCCAGCCAGAGAGATGAACCCAGCTGTGCATGGAGGCTTTTCAATTCTAATAGAGGAACCAAGAAATGTCCCCTTTGAAAGGAGAAGTATGTCACTGCCATGGGCTCCAGATACATGTACCCCACCTCCATCTGCAGTTGAGTGCCCCTTCTCTGGAAATCCACAAATATTCCAAGAGCTGGACTTCTCCTGAATCATCTCAAATTCTTCGAACTTCGCTGGTCTAGGGAAGGATGTGAGGGGGTGACAGAAGGCGGGGCAAGACCCTCAAAGAGGTTAAATAGGTCACTGCCACCCTCGACTCTCACCAGGGTGTCTCCCTAAGCAGAGGGACCCGCACACAGAGACTCCCTCCTGGGCTCCTGGCACCATGGCCCCACTGAAGATGCTGGCCCTGGTCATCCTCCTCCTGGGGGCTTCTCTGCAGCACATCCATGCAGGTGAGAGCAGGAGACAGGTGGCCAGGGGTGGGCACTGGGAGAACAGGAGTTAGGGGCATGAAGCAACACACACATTTGTGTATTATTTACACCCCACCTACTCCCACCAAAGACATGAGAAGCCCACAGCACTAGGATTTTGAGGGAAATAAGCAGAGAAAAATGTTGATGATGACCCAGCTCTTGTGGGTGGGCTTGGTGAGGTCCAAAGCGAGCACAGCTCGGGCTGCAATGGCTGCGAGGTGGGGGCTGTGGCTGTAGTTGTGCAATGGAAAATGAACAATTCTCAAAATGATTTATTAGCCTCTGTTTTATTAACGGGTTTTATGCACAATGAGGGAATCAGCATAAAGATAGGATAATTGGTTCCAAAAGCATGTAAAAAAAGATTCTTTTTTTTTGAGATGGAGTCTCGCTATGTTGTCCAAGCTGGAGTGCAATGGTGCAATCTCAGCTCACTGCAACCTCTGCCTCCCGGGTTCAAGCAATAATCCTACCTCAGCCTCCCGAGTAGCTGGTAATTCAGGGGCCCAGCCACCACGCCACCAATGGATTTTCACCATGTTGGTCAGGCTGGTCTCGAACTCCTGACCTCAGGCAATGCACCCACTTCGGCCTCCCAAAGTGCTGGGATTACAGGCATGAGCCTCAGCGCTCAGCCTGAAAAATAGATTCTTATATTAGGTTGGCAAAGGGAAGATGAAATAAGGTTGCCAGGTATAGACATACAGGGACGCACACAGACACACACACGTAGGCACTCACAGGACACACAGGATCCCCCACAGACACACACAGACATGCATACCCACAAACACACGGGACCCCCACAGCATACACAGAGGCCTCACACACACTTGTGCACGGTAACACACAGACACACATACACATAGGCAGCGATGCACACGCAGTCACCACACACAGGTGCACACATGAACATGCACATGCAGATCTTCCATGAACAGCCTCCAGGAGACCCCGCAACCCACACCCAGATACTCACAGACACCCCTGCCCCGCTCCTCTCCCTGCAGCTCGAGGGACCAACGTGGGCCGGGAGTGCTGCCTGAAGTACTTCAAGGGAGCCATTCCCCTTAGAAAGCTGAAGACGTGGTACCAGACACCCGAGGACTGTTCCAGGGATGCCATTGTGTAAGTCCCCCCCGGCCCTACCCCTGCTCCTCGGGGCCAAGCTTGGGGACAAGTGCTCCCAGGAGCACCCAGGACGGCCACTGGGGAGCAGGGAAGAGACAGTGGGGCCTTCCTCCCTGACCTCTGCAGGCTCCTTGGGGCAGTTCATGTTCCCCATGCTGTGGGACCCAAAACGGCTGCAGGCCATGAGGTCCAACCTGTTCCTTGATTTGTCGTGAAATCGAGGCCCCGGAAGCGATGAACACCCCCAGGTCACACAGCTGGTCAGGGGCAATGTGGTCACCTCCCCTGGCCTGGGCCTAAGCCCTGCCTGCAGTCTCCACGTCCCAGGCTGTAGGCCGTCTGGGGGCATGGGCAGGCTGAGGGGTGGGCACAAGGTCCTGCAGCCCTGGCTGCCTGGGAGGGTTGATGTCACTCAGGACAGAGCCTGAAGTCCCAGATCTGCCACCAATGCCCTGTGTGACTGCAGCAACTTCTTGCCCCTCTTGGAGCCTTGGAATCCTGGTCAGCACAGGGCGGGGCTGTTCCAGGGACTCTGGGGGCCCTTCCCCCTCTGCCACCCCTGGTAACGTCCTCCTTCTGTGTAGTTTTGTAACTGTCCAGAACAAGGCCATCTGTTCGGACCCCAACGACAAGAAAGTGAAGAAGGCACTTAAATACCTGCAAAGCCTCTAGAGGTCTTGAAGCCTCCTCACCTCAGACCCCTGACTGTCTCCCGGGACCACCTGGGACCTCCACCGTTGGTGTTCACCGCCCCAACCCTGAGCACTTGGGTCCAGGGGAGGCCTTCCAAGGACAAAGAAGCGCCACAGTGAGGGAGATCCCATCCCCTTGTCTGAACTGGAGCCATGGGCACAAAGGGCCCAGATTAAATTCTTTCTCCTCAATCTGTGTCAGCGTGTTCGTCCCCACAGTGCAAGACGCGCTTCCACTCCAGCCTGTCACTCTGGGAGGGTCCTCAGAGAACATCTGGTTCTGCCCTGTGCAGGTTGGAAAGGGAGACTGAGGCTGAGAGAGGCACGTGGCTTCCGCAGACCAGGCACCAGTGAGGGGAGGCCCTGGTGAGAGGCCCGGGCAGGGGCGGGGCTGGCGGGGTCCTGGGAGGTGGTGGCTGAAATGTGTCCCCACCTACCCCGAGGTCTCCCGGTTTCCCCCTAGCCCAGCTCCTGTTCTTGCCCCACGTGGAGTTGAGGACAAGCTTCCCCAAGGTGCTGGGGTCCATTTCACAGACTGGCCAGGAGCCTGCCGCAGGCCACAGCTCTGCCCAGTGCTGGGGAGCCCCCTGGCCGAGGGTGGCGGGACCTTGCAGCCCTGTCTCTGCGTCCCCCTGCACTCACTGCAGGCCAGCTGGCCCCGCTCCTCCTCTCCCCGCTCAAACTCCAGACCAGCTTCAGAGCGAGGGGGATCTGTGGGTCCTTGGTCCTTGCGGGGGCCCTGGGTCCTCCGCCTGCAGCTACCTTCCTAGCCCCCTCCAGCCCCAGGCAGGCGGGCACCACGCGGCCCTGTGGTTCCTCCTGACTGAAGTGTGATCCCCACCTGCCTGGGCTGACCTCCCCACTAGCTCAGCTGCGCCCAGCCTGCAGAAAGCCGGCCCAGCACAGCTGCCCACCGACTCGCTCCCCCAGTTCTTAGGGACTGCCCGGAAGCCGACCCCCTGCTCCGCGTGGTTCTCTCATTGGTTCGTGTGTGTGTGTGTGTGTGTGTGTGTGTGTGTGTGCGCGCGCGCGCGTCAGTCCCAGCTCCTCCATTAGGTTGAGAGCCCCGTGAGCCACTCCGGGGACCCCGCACCCCTGTGCTCAAAAAGATGGGGACTAGAGGCTCAGGACACCCCCACCCCCAGACCCCTGCCCATGCCCAGCTACGGGCTGAGCACAGAGGAGTCAGGGCCTTCCCTTCTACTTCTCTTTCACTCTCCCAACCAGCGATGGGGCCGTGGCTTCTCTGTGCACACAGTTTGGCGGCAGGGGCATGGGTCCTTCTCTTCCGAGGACCTCGTGGCCGGCATTGTTTGGCAGGGCTGCGGTTAGAAGGGCAATTTCCAGGCCCGACTGTTGCCTCCTTCTGCCCCCTTGTGGCCAGTCAACTCATTGCAGGGCAGATGATAGAACGCAAGTCTACTTTCCAATAGGGGCAGGATTAAAACAAGAACAGCGATAAAAAGGTTGATAAAACCAGTGAACTGGATTCCCTGTGACTCTAGGGTCTCTTCGGTCGCAAATGGGCTCATATCCTGTCCTGATGCCGAGGAGGATCCCTTGAACAACTGTCTAAGATCCAGAGTCCTAGGGGTGGCCCAGTCTGAGTTCTTCATGGAAAACTGTCCTCTGAATCCACCTGGTGGAGGATGATCTAAAAAGGAAGGGAGGCAAGGAGAAGCTCCTAAGGTAGCAAAGGCCAGCGACGGTTGGGGTCTGGACCCCTGCACCCTGCAGGCCAGAGTGCAATGGCTGGATTTCGGCTTACTGCAACCTCCACCTCCCAGGTTCAAGCGATTCTCCTGCCTCAGCCTCCTAAGTAGCTAGGATTACAGGCGCCTGCCACCACACCCAGCTAATTTTTTTGCATTTTTAGTAGAGACAGGGTTTCACCATGTCAATCAGGCTGGTCTTGAACTCTTAGCCTCATGTGATCCACTCGCCTTGGCCTCCCGAAGTGTTGAAATCCCAGGCATGAGCCACTGCGCCTGGCCTCCAGCAAACTGCATTTAAAAAAGCAAGACCTTTTTTTTTTGCCCCCCCTACTGAAATCCTACTCAGAAGCCCATATTATAAGCTGAGATAAGTAGAGCTGCCGTGGAGGCCTGTGAGGAGGTGGGGAGTTGCCAGAGGGTCCCTGAAAGCAAGATAGGGTGGGGGCGTTGCATAAAGGCAGGGAAGAGGTGGATCCAGGACTGGCAACAAAATGCACGATTCAGAATCCAAGTATTCACGAGCAGCATCCGGTGCAAGTTGGGGGATGGTGAGATGCAAGAGCTAGGACAACTGCCATGTGACCTCAGGGCATTTTAAGGAGGTGTGACTTGGAGGCTGCCATGATTGGAAAGCTGGGAGGGAAAAAGAGGAATGGTCAGGTTCAGGGTGAAAAGTGAGGAGGAGTGCCAGACTTACGTTGCTTCTTTCAACTGATAGGTGCCTCCCCTCCTCCCCCACCCCACCCCTGCTTTTTTTTTCTTTTCAGATGGAGTCTGGCTGTGTCCCCAGGCTGGAGTGCAGTGGTGTGATCTCGGCTCACTGCAACCTCTGTCTCCCAGGTTCAAGGGATACTCATGCCTCAGCTTCCTGAGTAGCTGGGATTATAGGTGTGTGCCACCATACCCGGCTGATTTTTGTATTTTTAGAAAAGACAGGGTTTTACCATGTTGGCCAGGCTGGTCTCGAACTCCTGAGCTCAAGTGATCCGCCTGCCTCAGCCTCCCAAAGTGCTGGGATTACAGGCGTGAGCCACTCTTCTGAAATCCAGTTTCTCTTCAACGTTCAACTCAGTGTTGCCTCCCCGGCAGCCAGACAACCAGCCCTGGTCTCTCTGGTTGCATCTGAACCTGGGCTGTGTGTCCTCCACCTGCTGCCAGTGCTCACCTCGGTCTAATCCTGACCACACTCTGTCCCTTGTAATTGGAGCTGCTTGGGTGATTTACCCGGTAAACGCACTAAGCAGGTATTTGGGTCAGGAAACAGTACCAGACTCATTTATGAGGAGGGAAAAAAGCTTTGTGCATAGTGTATATTTGATTTATAGATTTTCATCAGTGCTGCTTGGGTGAATTCCACAAGGGGCACTAGTGGGGAAAGAGAAATTTCCTGGGGAGCCCTAACAACCGGGCCTGAAACACATCTCATCTCCAAATGTGGAAATTAGAATTGGTTTGTTCTCCAATGGCCCACCAGAGGGCACTCTGCTCTTAGGAGGAAGTTCTGAGGCTGATGCACCAGAGGCCCTGACCCCACCAGTTGGACTCCAACCCCATCTCTGTCCCCAGGGGCTGGAATCAGCCACATCTGTTTGTAGCTGCACTAGGCCTTGAGGCAGGGGTGTCTGTAGCTGGCCAGCTCTCCTCTTGGGGGAACAGAAGCTAAGAAACCACCAATTACACTGCCTGGGGTTTGCAGGATGAAGAGGAAGAAGGAAGGAACGCTGCTGGGACTAGCAGGGCCACTAACTCCAGACGCAACCTGGGCAGTGCTGAGAGCTGTGGGCCGGGGTGTTTCCCTGTATTTTCTTAGAGACTGTATTTGTTCTATTTGGCATCCATTTATCACAGGGCCAAATCACAGGGCCAAAGGCATTTACACCTCCCCTGCAAGCCGGATTTTGCAAGTTTTTGAAAGTAGTAATAGTTACAAACCCTCCGACCAATCCCGATCACAGACCCCCCAACCATCTATATTTAACTCTCACACCAAGCCAAGATTTCCCCTGCCCTAAATCACTCAGAGCCGGGTAGAGACAACTAGGGGCAGCCCCTATGCCCAAGGCCCTCTGGAATTATTCCAACTAGCCAGACCTGGGCTGCTTCCCCTGGCCTGCCTTGCCCTTCAAGTGGAAACCCCATGAAAGGCTGTGGCCTGTGCTGTTCTGAACCTTCCTTTCAGCCTCCTGACCAAACTTGGTGCTCCCTCTGTAGCCCCTGTGTGTGGTCCTGCGTGTGTGCCATGCCCTATTCTCCTGGGAGATGCAAGTAATAAATTCTTCTTTCAGTGGCCTTGGTTGCTCTGTGTTTTCACTCAGCCACCTCCATCAATTCAAATCCTGTGGGTACATTTAAAAATTTTGTAATTGACACATAGTAATTGTACACATTTATGGGGCACATGTGATACTTTGACACAGGTGTCCAATGCGTAATGATCAGATCAAGGTAATCAGGATATCCATCACCTTGAACATTTACCATTTCACTATGTTGGGAATGTTTCAAATCTTCTAGCCATTTTGAAATATACAATAGGCCGGGCATAGTGGCTCACACCTGTAATCCCAGCACTCTGGGAGGCCGAGGTGGGAGGATCGCTTGAGCCCAGGAGTTTGAGACCAGTCTGGGCAACATAGTGAGGCTCAGCCTTTATGAAACACAAAAATTAGCCAGGCATGGTACCGTGTGCCTGTGCTGCCAGCTACCCAGGAGGCTGAGGTGGGAGGATCACTTGAGCACAGCAGGTTGAGGCTGCAGTGAACTGTGATGGCACCACTGCACTCCAGCTAGGGTGACAGAGGGAGACCTTGTCTCAAAAAGAAAAAAAAAGGCCAGGCATAGTGGCTCACACCTGGAATCCTAGCACTTTGGGAGGCCAAGGCGGGTAGGTCATCTGTTCAGGAGTTCTAGGCCAGCTTGGCCAACATGGTGAAACCCTGTCTCTAAAAAATACAAAAAAAATTAGCTGGATGTGGTGGCAGGCACCTGTAATCCTAGCTACTCAGGAGGCTGAGGCAGGAGAATCCCTTGAACCCAGGAGAGGTTGCAGCGAGCCAAGATCGCGCCATTGCACTCCAGCCTGGGCAACAAGAGCAAAACTCCGTCTCAAAAAAAACAGAAAGAAAAGAAAAGAAAAAGAAAAAGAAAAGAAATACACAATAAATTGTTTACTAGTCACCCTACTGTGCAATCAAACACTGGAAATTATTCCTTCTATCCATCTGTTTGTTTGCACCCATTAACCAATCTCTCCCCATCACTCCCTCTCCCCTAAATAGAACTACCAATGATCCAGCAATTCTACCACTAGATATTTATCCAAAGGAAAGGAAATCAATATATCAAAGGAATACCTGCACCCCCATGCTTATTGCAGCACTATTCACAATAGCCAAGATATGGAATCAACCTGTGTCCATCAATGGAAGAATAAATAAAGAAATTTGGTACATGTACACAACGGAGTACTATTCAGCC